ACTTGCCCATTGGATTCTTCAAAACACTATAGACCATTTATTTTCTTAGAATGTCCGATCATCCTCCTCGTACCCTGTTCCTGAAAAATACATCGAGTGGGGTAAAAAACATCATTGCAGTTAGAATCTTTGGTAATTTTCTGGATAAATAGAAGATTGGTAAACAATTTTGGAACATGGAGGACATTTTTAAGGGTTAGGGTTTCGCTTACAACATCTCCTTGACCAGCCGCTTTAATTACCAAACCATCAACAACAATTATTTTTTTATCACTAGGACAGAGTGTTTATGAGATAGTTTTGTGAGGAGTGGGTCATATGGTCTGTGGCTCCTGAGTCAATGATCCAAGAACTTTTGGTGGGTATATCCGAGACTTTAGAAGTTTGAGAAGAGGGTATACCTGAAAAAGCTAAACTTCAAGTACCTGTTGAAGAGTGTATACCAGTGGAGACTACCTCAGGTAGTTCTGCCAATTTAGTCTGTACGCTGCCTGGATATTCTGCAAATCACTAGTTGAATTTGAGTGATTTCCTCCATTACTTGAGACTTCTGAAGTAGCCGCAATGTTGTTGGTTTCAATACCTTCAACCATGCCCTTTTTGAACAGATTGTATCGGTTCAAAGGTGAATTGGGAGAGAAGGGGCTGCCAAAATACGAGTGAAAAATCTCCTAGAATCGAGCTAAAAAAGCTGTGATACAATGTCAAAAGTGACCTGATTTTTTTCATTCATTCATAGGAAATTTACACTGGTTCATATAGACCTAATAAGCCTAAATTAGGAAACTCTAAACTAGAAAAGAGACTGATTCTAGGAATATTTCACCTAAAATAAATCCCTCAAAGTTAAGGATTACAATCACTAACATATTTACAGAATATCCTAGTTAGTACAACCAGTATTCCTTATTTAGGAAACTGGAATCTGACATGTTATGGTATGCATGTAGAGTATATTATGAATTAGCAGATAAATATCATATAGGAATTCATTATGTATGTTAGCTTTCAAGTAGTGGCGGAGCCACAGCTTGGTGAGGGTGGGCACGTGCCCACCCTGAAATCCAAATTTTCATCGATTAATTACATATTTTACTGATGGTGTCTACCTTAAAATTTTCATGCTCACCCTGAAATTTGAGTTTTCTTCGATTAGTTATATATTTTACGGACGGTGTTCACCTGAAATTTTTTTTGTACTCATCTCATTTAAATATTTTATGTTGCTAACATATGTGTGCCTACCCTAAAAAATATTTCTGGATCTGCCACTGCTTTCATGTACTTGTTTTTTGTCTATTGAAGTATACGCTTGTGCACCGAAATAAGCTTTACAATTGTGATTATTTGTGCAACGACTGTCGAAATTTTTGCTAGTATCGTTCAAGGATTTGATTTAGTTTCCATATGTAGTCAAAAGGATTTAGATGTCATAGATGCATATCTTGACAATTGAAATGACTAGATTAATATATAAAAACACCATGATTTTATAATTTTAATTGCAATTTTCTCTTTTTAGCTTATTTTGAACTCTTTGCCCTGTAGGGAATGTATGCACTGTGCAATGTGGCAAGTGGTAATGAGTTTCACAAAGAAGCAGTAATACAGCAACTCTTTACACGGATGGGTGACAAGAATCAATATTTTGTGATTAAGTTTTTGCAGAGTGATGATAGCCAGCTACGCACAGCAACTATCTGGACAATCGTGAATCTTACTTGTCCATCGAGTCCTGGTGCACCTGGCCGGCTTGATAAACTGTGCAATGCTGGGATAACTTCTCAGATAAAGAATATGGTTAATGATCCTTGTGTTGATGTTAAGGTCATTAGCATTTTATCTTTTGAACATATTTTCTGTTGGCTTCACTTTTCTGGTTAACCTAAAAGAAATTTTTGTGGTACAGCTCCGTGTGAGAACGGTGCTAGGGCAATCTATGGCTTTCGGGGACAATTAAGCATGTCTATGTTTATTCATTACTCCGTATACGGAAAAGCAAAGAGATTTGAAGCCGTTAGTTTTGTCTTTGCCGCCTTTCTTTTGTAAGATATTTTCAAGGCTTTCTCCCGTGGCTTGTAACAAATTGGTGAGTTTTTGGTTGATTTTTAATTGCTTTGATTGAAAATGGTCATTATTCTGGATTTGCAAGTGCTTCATCCTAGAAGTATAGAACACTAAGTGGGTTAAGGTTTATAATTAATCAAATTGGCAAAGTTCCCATTTAGATTAACAATTGAACGAACTTATCAAATACATCTCTGATGACTGATGACTTATTATAATTGGATTTACAAATGAAGCCATTCACTAATGGCTAATTTGCGATTCTTTTCTTTTGCAGGCACAACACATCGCTTTCGGTTACTGCTTTTTTGTCGGTTGAAGCAGTGGGAGCTGTTATCGGTCAGTTTTACATCAAATAGGCATTTAAGGGATATTCATACAGTTTGGGTCGATATTTACCTATGTATTATCAATTGAGCATTGTACATCTAATAGTGTACCATGGGAAGTTGTAGATATAATATTTCCCTTCAAATTAACTTCCATGAAGAAAGCTTTGTTGTTCTCTATTTCTACCGCTAAAGTATGCTCCCTTTCGATTTATGAAAGCTGCCATTTGGCTAAACTGTTACACTTTTGAAATTTGAAGTCTTTATTACTTTTAGTGGATAATTCACTCTGTTGAAGTTTTTCGTTATCATATAATCATGTAGCTTTTTATGCATCTTTATTGTTAGAAAGTAGAAACATGGGAGTTTATCCTTTGGTAGTGGTAAAATGAGCTATCAATAATTGTAGGCATAGTCACTAAACTTTAGCGTCTGCCTTGTTTTAATCACTAAATTATAAACTGCTCCAATTTTATTATTAAAATTTTCAAATGATTTTTTTATTGGATGGCTAAATCATTAACAATCAAATGGCATGGGATCGTTTGGCCATTGAATTTCAGATATCCTGGTGTCTTTTAAGGCCGCCGTATATACAAATGAACTTGTTTTATCGTTTCCTATGATTGCGATTTTTTTAAATATCTTCAAAACTCATGAAGTTAAACATAAGAAGGTGTATTGGTTTTGGGGTTTAGAAGTTTTCTCAGATTTGAAAGGTTTAGAGTCTTTATTCGAAAATACGAACGGTGAAAACCCTTCTTTTGAGGAGACGAACAACACACCTCAAGTATAAGAGGAGGTCATAGCATTAGAAGATCAAATCTTTAGATGAATTTTCGTCATTTTAAGTGTGTTTCATGAAAAACCGATGTAATGAGAAGAAAGAAACTGAAACAAAATAGCGATAGGTGAAATCGATAACAATGATCACATGAGTTGACCGTTTTTATACAAGAAAAATGAAAAAGATAATTACAATGTATCATATCGTTAATGAATTATTTAACATCCTTATTATAAAAAAATAATTCAAAAAAATTAATGATAAAATTAAAACAATATATGGTTCAATGATTAGAACAAGAGTCTAAACTTCAATGATTAATGACTTATATTTATGAAACAATTATTAATGGTGTAGTATACCCTTTAATTAAACCAACTGATTGAACCATTAGACATTGTCAATGAAAGAATTGGGGTTTGACGGCTATAACGATTCACTTCGATTATTATAGGGAGTCGCGGTCGGTGATTCTATGAAGGAAATAGAGAGTGGTAAGCTGAAGAAGACGATGAATAGTGAAAAGCTAAAAAAGAGAGTTTCAAAGGGATAGAGGGAGTCCTCTTTCCTTGTATTGCACTTAGTATTGTACGATGATTTATATATTGACTCTTAGGGTCTGTTTGTTTCCCGTAATTAGAATTACGGAATTGGTTTTCCCCGAATTCCCGTGTTTGTTTCACGTAATTCGTTTTCCAGAAAATGTTTTCCCGTGTTTGTTTCACGTAATTCGTTTTCCGGAAAACGTTTTCCCGTGTTTGTTTCACGTAATTCGTTTTCCGGAATGTAATTCATTTTCCTAGTAACAGAATTTCCTTTGTGTTTTCTGTAAAATGACTTACGGATTCATTTTCCGTAAGTCATTTTCCGAACTTTTCACTTCAAAGCAAAAATACTCAAAATAATTTTATTTTATGAATTTAATATTAATAAAATATTTTAATATCATTTTCATCAAAATATTAATTATTAAAATATTTAAAATATTTATTAATATTTATAATAATATAATATATTTTTAATATTATAAAATAATCAATTATATTATAATAATATAGATATTATTTTTATTTTAATATATAATAAATTTTTTTATATTTAATAATGAATAATATTATTTATATATTTCAATAATATTTTAGTAAAGATATTAAAATATACTAATTAATATTTTTAAAATATAATATAGTACTATTACTTTAATAAATAATTAATATAATTTATAAAATTTTATTTCACTAAAATATACCGAAAAAATGTTTAAATAACATCTTTCAAACATCATAAAATGTTTTCCAGATATTTTCCAGAAATGTAATTCATTTTCCAAAAATGTAATTCATTTTACAGAAATGTAATTCATTTTCCAGAATTCAAATTCCAGTAATTCATTTTCCAGTAATTCAAATTACAGTAATTCAAATTCCAATAATTCATTTTCTTGAAAACCAATTACAGCTAAACAAACAGACCCTTAGTATTGATATTAGGATTAGAGTTATGATGATGATCCGTAAGTTGACAAATGGATATGATTTTCAAATAATAAATTTAGGTCTAGCAGATCACAGGGACTCATGTTAAGAAATTGTAAGTGGTCCAAGGTTATGGAACTCCGAAGATTAACTCCAGAAGAATAATGGCGGATAAACAATCTAGTATAGATTACGGAAGAGATCTTTTGTAAAGAAGTCCAAAAGAGGTATGACACACACTAAATACCATAGCCAACGCCAACGTTGATGGAATGAATAAGTTTGGCATTCATGGATCCCAAATCCCCGAGTTACTTCTTTTGATAAAACAATGTTACATGACGGGTAATATTCATAATTTATATACAATTCATAAGAGTTCAATCTACACGTAAAAACATAGTTTGGGACCAAACATGGTGATTCTACAGAAAGGATGGATACCAAAGGCTAAATTAAAAGAAAAAGAAAATTCTAAAACAACTACAAATGCATCCCTCAGCCAATATTCTTCTCCGGGTTGATATCATCGGAGGGCCAAACTACAGTTTCCATTAGCCGCTCGCGCATCAGCTCCAAGTTCTCTTCCGAAATCTCGTTGTATATTTGAGCATGATCACATTTCTATACCAACATACATGCATGCATACAATGTCAGGAGATACTGCAGCTTTTTTTTTACAGCACTAAATGTAAAAACTAGTAAGAGATGTTTAATTTACCTTGATCCATTTCCCATACAGATGAAGCCGTGTTATCATCACTCTTTCTGCAAGCTCTTGATTCTCCTATGAATGCCATATACATGAGGTCAGCTAGTTTGAATTTGATATTACATTGTTCTAATATTAGGTTCGTATTCTAATTCATTCTGGTTTAAGTCTACTAGTTGAAAATTACCGGATAATCAAGTTTGCTTAATCAATAAATATTGTGTTATGATTTCTTTTTTTATCTAGTAACAGGCTGATAAAATCTTCGAAGAACAGATGTGGCAGAATGATAACGACAATATCATGATGTTGATAAACAGAATGATAATACATAAAGAAGAAATTACCTTGCCGAGCATCCGTAAGAAGAGCTTGCCATCTCTGGGCTCATTTGATGCAACATACCTGACAATATGGAACACAATTTACCAACAACATCATAATCACACAGTTTCCTTTAATCTCCACATTTTGTTTCAATTTCCAGTGCTTAGAATCATATTTAAACTTTTCGGATTTCGGCTTTTTCGAGTTCAAGTTTAAACGCATTTGAACTTGAATTTCTTCAAGTTCGGGTTCATTTGTCGCCTCTTACTCGTAACACAGTTTGCCACAATCATAGCAAGCCACAGTGTTAATCAGAAGCAAAAAGAGAATGGGTTAAAACCAGATATGCAACTTACTGATAAAACCATGTATATTTTGGAGGATTCATTTCATAGAGCTGAGTAAGAACAGTCCTCACTGCCTTGTATGTGAAGTAATTGAGTAATTGCTGCAGGCAAAAAACCATTTTCATATCAATAAACATTGCCTTATCTAACAACATTTAGATGCACGGTGTTTGAAACTCAGTTTTAACATCGATTAGTGTATTTTTCAGAATGAATTATGCTTCAGGTATTTCCAGTACTAGCTATCTCATCTAATGGCAATGTCAAGGAAATGCAGAAATCTCACCGTTCTAACATCACCAAAAGTATCTTCATACTGCCCTCCCAAATCACTGACAACAACAAGCCTACGGTCCTTGCGCTGCTGCTTCCAGGAACTCTTGCTCAGAATCGTCTTGGAGGACAGCCTCCGATGAGGCCATGAATCCAAAAACGAGCTGCCTAATTCCAAAGAAGCAGGCCTTGCAGCCGCATGCTTTCTTTTGAGGTTGATGTTGGTGGTGGATGGGAGTGCATCCAAGCACAAACATGGACTGCTGTGAGACTCCATAACCGAAGAACCCACCACAGATAAACCCCCCGCCATCTTCAACTGATCACCTCAAACTAAACGACAAGTTCCAATAAAAAAATGAAAAAAGTAAGAAAACCCAATGACCAGATCGGTGTTTTTGGTTTAAACTAATGGGAAGGAAAGAGAGTTTTGATGGCAAGTGTTGTTTGTGCAGAAGGGAACGTGTGGAGAATGTGGCGTGGATTTAAAGCCAAGGTGAAGCTTAACCAGAAGTTTCTGAGGTCCACATTTGTCTGAATTCGGTTTGACTGTTCAAGGCACGAAACCACAGGCTTGTGTTTGGTTTAGCAACTTGTGTGAATCTTGTTGGGATTCAATGAATCTTTGGTCTTCAAACGTGTTAAATTCATCAACCCTAAGTCAATTAAATGAGCTGTTTCAATTTTCAATCTTCATAGTTTCAGTATTCAACTTGTTTAGGTGTTCTTCCTTATGACCGGCTTAACTTCGTACTTACTTTTTTTTTCGAGGTAGAATATATTTAGAATTTTATTAATATATGATTAAACTCAATTTTTTAAGAAAATAATATTTAATTTTATTATTTAGTCTATTCAATAAAGAGAAAATAACTTCAGTGACCAAAAATCCTATATAATATACGATTTTAACCAACTTTTTCCGGATTTGCCAAAATGACCAACAAAATCGCAATGCGGTCGCTAATTCGCAACGCGATCTCCATTATCGCAAATCAGTTTCCAGATTCGCAACGCGATTATGACTATCGCAATGCGATTTTCCAATTTCGCGTTGCGATTTTTCCAATTCACAATGCGAATAAGTAAATCGCAACGCGAATTGGGAAAATCGCAATGCGATACTTACTATCGCAACGCGATAATACAAAATCGCAACGCGATACTGACTTTCGCAACGCGATACCAATTTTCGCAACGCGATTCTGACTTTCGCAACGAGATTCTGACTATCGCAACGAGATAATACAGAATCGCAATGCGATTTTCAAAGTTCGCAACATGTTTTAGTTTCGCAACACAAATTTTTTGGGTATATATCTACGCAACAGCAACAACTCATAACTTAAATCCCTAAATCGCAACTCATTCCATCTCCATCTATCACTCTCTCCGGTGACATCCGTTCCTATATCCGTTCCTACATCATTCCCCATCCGGCAACAGGTCTTAGTTTCGCAGCTCGTTTGTTTAGTAAATTAATTTACAACCATGAAATCATCTAATGTTGATCATGTTTGGATAGATTTGTGTTTTGGAGGGTCATGGGAGAATGTTCATGGTGTTTTACAATATATGCTTTTACCCATGAATCTTCAACTAAAACTGTCATTAAAAAATTTAACTTATGAAACTCTAATGTTACGTGTTTCAAAGAAATTGAATTTAGAGCCCCTAAGTGGATTTAGGCTATCTTATCAGAGAAATGGTAAAGTTTATTTGTTAACCGACAATGAAGATGTTGAACGATTCATTGCTTACATTAGTGTTTCAAGTGATGATGTTACATTGTATGTTGTTGAACCTAGAAGTAGTATTGTTGGGTCAGTAGCGGGTAGTAATCAACTAAGTTTTTCTCAAAACCCACAACCTTTCTCTAATCCAAATCCCAATCAACTTTTAGCACCAAATTCCGGTTTTCGTATTGACCAATTAGACGATGATGAGCCAACATAAAAAATTGTGAGTACTAGTCAGTATTCGAAATTTGATCTTGGTCAATACCCAGACTTTGATATTGGTCAATACTCGGATTTTGATGATGTTTCAGAAGAAGAAACAGACCCTGCGTGTAATGATTTTGATATTGGTCAATACCCGAATTTTGATGATGAAACAACCGTTGCCGAGGAAGATGTTGTTGATGATAATGAGGAGGAAGTTACGACTGTGAATGAACATGTTGAACATCCATTCTGTAATTCATATAATCCTGAAGAAGGAAAAGAAGAAGAAAAAATCCCCGAAGAAAAGAAAATACCACGGGAGTATAACTGGAATATGCTAGAATTACTTCAGATACCGGAAGAAGAGTTGGTAAAGAAAGCAGTTGATTGTTACACAAAAGTTATTCGTATCAAGAAAGATGATTGTTTTGATACAAAGGAAGACTTGAAGATAGCTTTGTATACGAAATGTGTGGAAGATGGCTATCAACTAAAAGTTAACAGATCAAGCAAAGATCGTTTCGAAACAAGGTGTATGATTGACAAAAACTGTACGTGGCGTATGATTGCAAAGAGGATAAAAGATTGCGAAATGTTTTAAGTTAGGACTTTTATTGATAAACATACATGTTCAAGAACCCAAGTTTTTCCTCACCATAGACAGGCAAACAAAAAGGTGTTGGGTGGTTTTCTGGCTGAGTTAATGGTTTTGAATGGCAGGGTATATCGGGGACATGAAATTATGACTGACATGAATGCTCGGTTCAAGATTAGTATATCATATTCTCAGGCTTGGAGAGCCAAATGTTATGCCTTGGAATTGTTGAGGGGGTCGCCAGAAGCATCGTTTGCCCAACTGCCGGCTTATTGTCACAATTTAAAGCTGAAAAATCCTGGGTCGGTAACCCATATCAAAACATATAGAGATGGACGCTTTGAGTTGCTGTTTATCGCCATTGGTGCTGCGGTTAGTAAATCAATATAATTCTGTTGACACATTTTTGTTAGTTACATGCATTTCACATTTAAATGATTATATTTCTTGTGTATATTATTTTGTAGATTCGTTCGTTTATTATTTGCATGCGCCCAATTATTATAGTTGACGGAGCACATTTGAAAGGTCGATACCTTGGAGTAAACTTATTAGCAGTAGTCATGGATGCTAACAATGGGATATTGCCAATAGCGTACGGGGTTGGCAAATCTGAAACCTCTGATCCATGGACATGGTTTATGGGGCATCTTAGGGATTGCATAGGTCCTATTAGCAATCTGACAATCATATCCGATAGGGCAAACTCAATTGACAACGCTGTTAGAAGGTGTTTCCCAGATGCTTTTCATGGACTTTGTGGTGTTCATTTGTATAGAAATCTAAAATCAAGGTCTGCTGGTATAAAAAAACACAAATGGACATACTGGAAGGCTGTAAAAGCTTATCGGAAAGTGGATTTCAATAAGCATATAAACTGTTTAAGACGTGTTTTGCCTCAGTGTGCTCAAACACTAGAAGATGTCGGGTTTGAAATATGGTCAAGAGTACATCAACTTGGAGCAAGATATGGTTTCATGACGTCTAATAGTGCAGAATCAATCAACACTCTAAGTCGTCATTCCCGGAAATTACCCATTACTATGTTAATGGAGTTTTTTCGAGCCTCTATTCAACAGTGGTACTACAAGAAAAGAAACCATACAGGTATTATTTCTTTGAATTCGTAACTTATCATATATTTTACTAAGTATTATTTATTTAAATTTACAGGAACATTGGAACATCGTGTTACACCATGGACTGAAAAAAAGATAACAAAACGTGTTGTGAAGTCAACGTCATGGAGAGTTGAACCATGTTCAAACACTTTGTTTGAAGTACTGGATAATAACTTAAATGGGCTTGTCGATCTAAATGCAAGGACGTGTAGTTGTATGAAATGGCAAACATCTGGTTATCCGTGTGGCCATGTTATAAAAGTTGCTCTTCATCTAAACCAAGATGATTCAAGCACATACGCTATGGATTGCTACACTACAGAAGTATATCGACAGACTTATGCCGAGATTGTCTACCCTATTCCACATCCTTCTGAGTGGGACATACCAGATGACTTACAAACAGTTTTTCCACCAGCCATGGACAGAAGGCTACCTGGCCGACCAAAAAGTCACGATCGTATACCGTCTAAGGGTGAAGAGAAGAAGAGATCGACATGTAGTCGGTGCAAGGAAAGTGGTCATACAAGGTTGACATGTGGATCACCAGTGCCATCACAATCATCTTTTCCTCTACCAAAATATGGATATTCATCAAAATCCAAAGCTCATATGGTGTCAAACAAAAGGCAATCAAAATCGTAATCATCTTTAAAATCCCAATCACAACCGGCTTCACCTTTTGGGACTGTTAACTTAGGTGATTTTTAAATGCAAACGTTGTATTATGTGTATTTTATGTATGCACTTTTAACATTTTCAGTTAGGCATGTATTAGTAACTTGAGTTTGAACATTGCTATGATCTGTTCAGTTGTTATCACTTATTAGACATTCATTTGACTATCGCAACGGGGCTATCGCAATGCGGAAATGGCTATCGCAATGTGGAAATGGCTATCGCAATGCGGAAATGGCTATCGCAATGCGAAATGAAAATCGCAATACGAAAATGAAAATCACATTGCGATTTTCTCGTTGCGATTTTCATTTCGCATTGCGATTCTCTCGTTGCGATAGTCAGTTTCGTGTTGCGATAGTCTGTTTTGCCTTCAACATAATGCAGATTGAAAATCAACAAATCAACTATTACATTTCAATCAATTAAACAAGCACAAATAAGAATTATGTACACATCAATTAAACAAATCAACATTTACAAATCATTTTTTACAAATCAATTAAACAATCAAAAAATAATAATAAGAATTATTTCCTCATCAATTATTGAATCAATGAATCAACTTTTTCACCCGTACATCCATTTCACGCAGCTCACTTAAGGATTAACCTGCAGAAACCAAACATTTGCTCAAACAAGACTTCCTACACATCTAAAACCTACAAACATCAAATTATTGAATTCTAGGTACTTAACCAAACATTTTCAAACCAAAAGGAGTATATATTTTAACAAAACTTGCATTTGACTTACCAATTAACAATGGATACTTTCATAACGCGGATGCAGGTAGGCAGCGTCTCGAATATATCGCTCTAGCCATATAATGCCGAAACCACAAGCCTACTGCAGCTCTATCTCTATCGGTGGGAGGTAGAAACTCTGTGCTTCCCATCGTCAAACGCGCCAAGCACATGCATACGAGAGGACCACAATCCCCTCTAGCTCCCGGTGATTGTTGTGGCGCGGTCTCGTCTCTGACAACTGTAACATTTAACTTCTTTGGCTTCTTGTGTCCAGAATGAGTCCAATAATTAATCCCATCCAAGAATTTAGCCAAATGAGTGTTCAATACCTTGATAAT